CACACACACACACACACACACACACACACACACACACACACACCCAGAATCACAGAGTCTGATTTAGAGGTGGGACTCAGGGTTTGCATTCATACCAGGAGAACTGTCCTGCACAGCCTTCTCTACATCTGCCTACCAGGTCCCTCTCTGCAAGCAGAGAAGTCAGCCCTGAAATTTGTCCCTGTGGTTCCTGGAGCCGGTGTCACGTGACACAGGGCAGGCACCTGCTAAGCCCAGCAGAAGAAATGAAGGAGTGAACAGATCTGGGGGAGGGTGCCTGGTAGGAAGGGGCTCTGGGAAGCCTCAGGGGACAAGGGGACAGCGAGGCTGGAAGGGAGAAGGGAGAGGAAAGGAAGGGAGGAAAGATGAGCGGTAGAGAGGAAGAGAACATTCTAGAGATGGAGGGGGAGGGAAGCAAAAGGGGTGGGATGGAAGAGAAGAGGGATCGGAATCTCATCACTTCTGGGCTTTTCTTCCTTCCAGATTCTTCTCAGGTTGCCCTGTGGGTAACATCATCCTGGTCAATCAGTCTGATATTATCATGTAACTTGGTTTTATCGGGATGTTACTTCTCAGCTATGGGTGATAAGGGGATAATGTCACAGTATGACTTTCCCTCAGCCCCTCTCTACAGGAGACTGCTCCATTCAGCACCTTGCACCAGGTTCTACCCAAGAACGCCCAGGATTTCTTATAGCACAATGGCGAGGTCACCTCAGGCCTCCTTATTGAAACAAGACCAGCACAGGTTAGCTGGCCAGGCTGCAAGGGCCCATGAGAGGCCACCAGAAGACAGGGGAGGAGGCTGTGGAACAAAGACTGGTAATTTTTGCTGTTGGTGTTATGTGGCAAGATCTCTTAAAGGACACTGTCCAAATCTGCCACAGGGTCAAGAATAACCAGACAGGGACTATGGGAGGAAAGGCAGGAAGCAGCTCCAACAGGCGTCCCTAGGAGGTGGCCTATCACTCTGATCAGAAGTAGAAGCTCACAGTCCCATCACACCAGGGTGGGCTTTTCCCATGGTGCAGGAGCTGCATGGATGAACCGAGTGGAGACCACACGGTGTGACTACACGTGCAGCAGTTCTGCAAGTCCTCTTTTGTGAGTGTTTTTAGTTGCACTGTTGTGGTTGCCTCCATGCTCAGAACCGATTAAAAGCCTTTTCCTTTCACAATCATTTTGACTTTGGGGAAGAGCCAGAAGTTGCATAGTGCCAGATCTGAATAAGGTGAATGAAGGCACATTACAATTTTTCAGCCTGCCTCTTTCTTGGAGGGCATGCAGCAGCAACATTCACTGTATTTTTTATCTGTCCTTGTAAAGACACTCACAAAAGAGGAGTCCAGAAAGAGACAAGAATGATGGGATGAATGTTTTCAAAGTAAGGGGAAGGATTTTGAGGGGCATTCATGGCAACGTGTCTTTTACTGTAATACATTTTTTAAAAAATGTAAACATTCACAGTGTAGTTTGATCATGCCTCTTAAATGGTTAAAAGACATCCTCACCCAGGGCTTGGCCAGGCAGTGTTGCTGGTGTTCAGGGGGTGACTACCTGGAATTCTCCAGCCACCTGACCAGACTAAGAGCAGCCACCACTGTCCCCTGTCTGGGAGAAGAAGGTCTCCAGCAGGAGCCACTGCCTGCTGTAATCCGTGCTGGGACATGCTGTAATCTGTGGCAGGTTAGTGAGCCTTGTCCTTTTAATCAGCAAACCCAGAGCCAAGCCTGGCCCCATTTCCTCTCCACAGTGGCATCCTCGACACCTGCCCAACCAAGTGAGCCACAGTTGATAGTACTTTGGGATGACGCAATCCTAGAACGTTTGCATACAGGCTCGTCCTTCAGACTCAACCGCGATTACCACCATTAGTGCAAACATTTCAATTCAAAATCATTCAAAAATGATAATCATGTCAATGGATCTGCCAAAGCCTAATACCTCTACTACAGAGGAAAAGAAAAGAAATGAAAAATAATCACTTTTATTGTTCCTGTTACACAAAATATATGTAACACACACAACAGTTCCAGCTGGGGGGGCCAGCAAAGGATGAGGGAGTCAGTAAAGGGGAGGTGGCAGCCCCAGGAATCCCTAGAGATGTACTGCAATCTCAGTTTCAATGCTTCCGCTTTCATAGGTGACAAAGGACATCTCTGTGGCTGCCCCTCCTCAACATCCCTCCATGGCTCCCTATTCTGTGATATTCAATGTCTTCTTAGTACTCTTGCCCTTCTCAGTTCCTTTCTAGCCACGGCCCAGCCACTCTGGACCATTCAGCATTCCTCAAATACGTCCCATTGTCCATCTTGACTTCCTAATCTCAAACCATCCTCTGTGAGACCACCTCCATCCACCCACTCCTCCCTGCCCTTCGAAGTCAACATTTTTGTTTTCAAAAAAAAAATTATATTACAAAATCAGAATCACATGGCCTTATAGAAAATATAC